GGGAAAGAGCGAGAGTGTCAGAGTCAGATAAGATTTAAGAGGGAGGAGGAAACAGAAACCCTAGAATGGTCAAAGCGTATAGGCGGAGCTTCACACCACACTTATTATGGGGGTTGAAGAATGACTAAAAATCCTTTTTTTTTTTTTGTTTATAAATGAAAGGGATTTGTTTTTTGTTTTAAAAATTAAATTCGTCCAATTATTTGAGTTGAAATAAAAATAATAAATGAGATGTGCCTTTCTTCTCTGGTTGGTTGAATTTTCTTTTTCCTTTTTGTAATTTCCATTTTTCGGTTTCTGCCGTTACAAGTTGGAAACCAGCTCATTCATTCATTCATACTCTCTCTTCTCTCTCTCAGAGACCACTCTCCACTGTTTGGATCCGATGGGGGCGAAATCTCCGGCCAGATTCACTCTCGGACGGCAATCCTCGCTCGCCCCGGATCGCGGCGGGAAAGATGAGGATGAGGAATCGATTGCGGCGGCGGTGGCGGCGGTGGATCCTAGGGTTCGTCTGATGTATTTAGCTAACGAAGGCGACATCGACGGGATCAATACGATGCTCGAGTCCGGGACCAATGTCAATTTTAGGGACATCGACGGCCGTACTGCTCTTCACGTCGCCGCTTGTCAGGGACGGCCAGACGTGGTTCAGCTTTTGCTCAGCCGTGGCGCCGAGGTCGATCCAATGGACCGGTGGGGCAGCACGGTAAAATCTTCAAGCCTTCTCTTTTCTGATTTCATTTCTTTTTGGTTTCCCTTGTTTTTGCGGCGTTTGCTTCTTGATCGATGTTCTTTCCCTGCTCTTCAAGTTTCTGTTACTGTTAGTCTTGGCGTGAACAAGATCGATTTAGTTCTTGTTTTCGGTGTTTGAATCGGGTTACCATGTTACAAGGAAGGCAGAATCGATGTAGTGACTGTTGGTGTGAATTAGATCATGGGCAAGACTGAATTGAGTGCCAAACTGGATTTCATCTGTGCTATGTCTCCTGTTCCAGTAATATCTGTCTGAAATTTGTCACCCAGGAGGATGGCTATATAATCTGGAACTTTGTTGGAAGTATCATTTACTGAAAAGGCTTTAAAATTACGAGTTTGATGCTCTTTTAGCTGTGAAAGGTTTAGGTGCGACTATGTGATGGTAACTATTTGTGACTGCAACAGCCTCTTGCAGATGCAGTGTATTACAAAAACCATGACGTGATAAAGCTTTTGGAGGAACATGGTGCAGAGCCTCCGGTATGATTTTTGTCCTACTGTGCAGATGATATTTTTTGTCAGTGCCATCGCTTTCTAAAATATCCCTCTGCCGCCTGCCTTGCAATTCTCATGTGATGATGAAAGCAGCTGTTCTAAGAAATTGTTTTGAAATCTGTTCCTGACTTTAGATAGCTCCCATGCATGTCCAAAATGCTCGAGAAGTCCCAGAGTATGAGATTGATGCAAAGGAGCTTGATTTTTCTAACAGTGAGAAAATCACAAAGGTAATTTCCAGAGTTGTCCCAGGCTCAACCGTTGTTTGTTGCTTATCTCTTCCATCCGTGCAAAAGAAGTTGAATCTGATACATTTCTTTTCCCAATTTTATTCGTTAGAAATTTTTGCGCCAATATGAGTACAAGGCTCTTTGCAGTTATTGATAGCAAGTTATACAGTTGGTGTTTCACGTTTGCTGAAATTACTGTTTGTGGTTCAGAGCAAGCAGTATGTACCATTCGTCAGAAGTTACTAATCCATCTGTGAGTATCTGTGCCACAGGGTACCTTTCGTTTGGCATCATGGCGTGGAATTAAGGTGGCTGTTAAAACCTTTGGAGAGGAACTGTTCACAGATGAAGACAAAGTGTGGGTTGATTTTGTTTTTCGTTTCTTGATATCGAATTTCTGTTTAGTTAAAGGTTTAATTATCCTCCTGGCATTTCAGGAAAGCATTTAGGGATGAACTTACACTGCTTCAAAAGATTCGGCATCCCAATGTTGTCCAGTTTCTTGGTGCAGTTACTCAAAGTAGTCCTATGATGATTGTTACCGAGTATTTATCTAAGGTTCTATTCTTTCTCAAACAATATAACCACATGCAGCCGGTGGATAGCATTGCGAAATTTGTTTATCATTTGATTTCTAATCTCTTGTAGAATTTTCCATCATTCTGAAATCTATGCGTGTCAGAAAATCTAAGGAAGTTTGTTTTAATTATCTGTTGAGATCAGCCTTTTGAGATTAACTTCAAATACTCTGCTTATATTGATGGAACCTCTATAACTGATAAGATAGGACATACGGAATAGGATGTTCAGTTTTTTGTTGTCGTAGTGAAAAGCTATAACTTGTATTGGAAGGCAGTAACTTCCACTTAGCATGGTTTATTTAAAAGGTAAATTCCATCCAACTTATACTTTGAAGTTGTCCCTTTCCTTATGTATATTTTTAGGGAGACCTACGGGAATATCTGGACAGGAAAAGGGCTCTAAAGCCAGAACTAGCCGTGAAGTTTGCACTTGATATTGCCAGGTTTAATGGTTATTATCCATTCGCTTTTACTTTATAAAAGTATGCAATCTTTTTAATTCATGCATGATGAGCACAGTGAAATCCCCGCTGCTAATGATGTTTTGTAGGGGAATGAATTATTTGCATGAGCATAAACCTGAAGCAATAATCCACCGCGATCTGGAGCCATCGTACGTTTTTTGTTCTGCTTCAATTTGGTTTTATGAATACCATTCTTTTGTTACCAAAATGTTTCTGGGTTCATACATTTGTATATAGCCCCAAAATTGGACAGCTTCTTATTTTCTCGAGTAAGAGAACAGAAATATACTGCGGGATGATTCCGGGCATCCGAAAGTTGCAGACTTCGGAGTGAGCAAGCTACTTGTAGTTAAGAATACAGTCAAAGAAGACAAGCCGGTTACACCACAGGATACATCTTGTAGGTTTGCTTTGGTGGCCATTATTGATTTTCATTTTTCAGGGGTTTACACAAAAAGGAAACAACATTCCCCATCAATCTGATTGCAAACTGAATATCATACATAACAGCATATTATAAGGCCTGTGTTGTGGACTGCTGGTGTTGATATTCTCTTGATTGTGTCTGAACAGGGCGGTACATGGCTCCTGAAGTGTATAGGAATGAGGAATATGATACTAAAGTGGATGTGTTCTCTTTTGCTTTGATCTTACAAGAGGTAGGATAACTCAATTGATCCAGCTGTATATCTGGAAAATCTTCTGCTGGCCCCCACTTACAAATATATCGCATGCGGGTTATAGATGATTGAAGGCTGTGTGCCATTTCCTATGAGTCAAGAGAGCGAAGTTCCTAAAGCATATGTTGCAAATGAGCGCCCCCCATTCAACGCTCCTGCAAAACGTTATCCTCTTGTGTTGAAAGAGTAGGTTTCTTGAGCTGCACTGTAGTTCTCGTTTGTTCTCTGTGTTCTTCACCTTTTTCTTTCATGTGTCATGCTGGAGGAGCTTCTGATGAGAAGTCTTATTACCCCTTCTCAGGTTAATCCAGGATTGTTGGGACAAAGAACCTTCTAGAAGACCAACGTTTCGACAAATTATCACCAAGTTGGAGGTCATAAGCCATCATCTTGAAAGAAAGAACCGCTGGAAGGTCTCTCTCTCTCTCTCTCGCGCGTTCTCTCACAGATATCCGCAAATTTCCTTTTTACTCATAACGGATGAAACACCTTTCTGCTGTGAACAGGTGAGGTTAGGAATGTGCCTTCCGATATTCGGAGGCTTGATGAAGAGAGATTATGTGAATCCAAGCAGCCGATCATCACACTCCTTCAACAGGTAAGTAAAAACACAAAAACTGTGTCTCCGATTTGTAACATCAGAAGGATTTTCTTTTGAAATGGTTTGCCCGAAGGGGAAAACAATGTGAATGTGTGAATCTAGAATTTCTCCATGAGTGTTGTATTTTAGTCTTGTAACCCTGTGTTGTGTGATCCATTTGAAATTCAAATGACAGAATATGTGCGTGCAATTCACTCGTTCTTGTATTCGGCATCTTACTTTAGGGTAAGAAGAGACCCCTTTGTTTGTTTTTTCTGTCTATTTCTGACAGTAAGAAGACTCGTATCCTATAGTTTTTACATCATAAATGTGATCTGTAAGAAAGAAGAGTTCATTAACTTTGAGTTTGGGATGATACTGATGGGTCCATTCAAGACAGATACCACGATCAGATTTAGAAGCTTTAGAGGTAAATTCTGTTGACCCTCTCTGCTTTGTTTTCTATTGTCATGTTTTGCTCCCTGCAATGTCAAAAGTTGTTCAAGTACTTTCAAAGTTACCGGAAAAAATACGAACGCAAACCCGTTATCAGCTCAAATTTTTCTTGGTAACAACAACAAACTTTGTTCATTCAAACATTTACAAACAACCTTATGATTAAATCACAAAGAACTCTGGATTTTTTTATCTTCTTTGCCTCAATGCCTCTTTGTTTCTCTTTCAGCCTGCAGGTAGGAGTACACAGAAAACAGATGAAGTTATTCATGCATATATATATATTTATGTGTGTGTATTATTACATATCGAAAACTGGAATTCCTCTTCTTACAGCTTTGATGGCCCTCTCAACAGCATCCCATCCGTAAAGATCGATGTAATGTTGAACTGAACTCCGAGCATCAAGGCTCATCATCTGTAAGACCTTCCTCTGCTCTTCCGTGTAATTCTTCCCCCCTACATACGCTCCTATCTTCACGTATTTCCTCACCATATTCGAGTAAATGTATGCAGCCCCACTGAACATCGGTAGCACCAGCCACATACAAAACAGAAGCTTCATGTACGGCCAGAACGGTATCCTTCAACCAAAAGCTAGCATTCATCATCGTCATTTCAGAAAAAAACAAATCTCTGTAACCAAACAGGAAAAAGCCATGCATGTACCAGGCAAGGATTCTCCAAACAGACATCTCGAACAATGTCATGAAGGAGTAAATGATCCAGTATGTGAGCCACTGCTGGTCATCCAACATCGTTGGACTCTCTATCGCTCTTAGCGATGCATACCTGCTCATATATATGATATCTCCATTAACGTATCCATATACACACATATATATATGTATGTATGTATGTATGTATATACACATCACTGATACAATAATGTTCATCATTAGTCTGTGTTGATCTTACAGAGGATAAAGAAGCATGACTCCTGGCCTGCACATGCCACCAAAAGCAGACAAGACAATGTTAGACATTAATGGTACGTTTTTCATACACTCTTTTCTAATTCGAATTAGGATCGATACGTACCCAATTAGAGCATCGAATCGTTTCGCGATTACGGTGATCACACCCATGTTAGATGAGCAGATTTTTGCAAAGGATATACACAAACACTTGTCCTATATTGTATGTATGTATGTATGTATCTTGAAAATGGTTGTGTTTCTTGTTTGAACAAACGTCTTCAGCACTATGCACGAATATATATACATGTTTTTCTCGTAAAGAATCTGGAGATGCGGACGAAGAAAAGAAAGGAATCTATACCAGTGATGTGTTGCAATCTTTTTCCCCGGAAAGAGGAAAAAGCTAAGTATCCATAGAGCCAAGGAAGATTTACGTGAAGGTGGAGATTCGATTCTTGGAGTTTGGTACCTCGTTCAAGAATTGGCCATTTTTATAAATTTCCTTGTTGCAGTGTGTGACTTCACCATGGCTTCAAAGAATATCGCCTAATGCAAAAAAAAAGGGGTCTTGATGGTAATTTCCCGGTCTGCCATGTAAGCATTCGGTCCGGGTAATCAGGAAATATTTAATAAATTCGTGTTTTATATGAAAGCGATGCGAATGGATTCGTATACTAAGTTGGTGGTTTTGTAATTGATGTATTATTGTTATGCCGTAGAAAAAAAAGCTTTCCTACGTTGCCAATAACGAGCAAGGGGCATTCAGAAATCAGCGTGATATATACACTGATACACACCCTACCACCTGTATATGCTTGCATTGCATGCATGGGCTATTTTTTTGGGGGGGGGGGGGGG